TATTTTAAAAAGTTTTGAGATTAGATCCATCTCCAATATTTCCTCATCTCTCAACCCATCCAGCTTTAATATCGTCTGAGGAGCCTGTGCGGGTGGAGCTCAGTTTGAGTGTTGCTGAGAGCCTGGTGAGGAAGAACGTCTTTGCAGCCAAAGAGGTGAGGCTGCATCACTGAAACATTAACAACACAAAAATAACATTGTTTTCACATTATTCCTCATATTTGTTTGTTTTGCTGTTTTCAGATCAGCGTCCAGATGACGAAAGTTCTTCTTCACATGGAGGATAAATACAGCATTAATAGCTTCCTGAGGCTCCGACAGGCAGCTATGGTGGCTCTCGCTGCCACTGACTGTATCCCTGTATGATCTTCCACTTCACTCTCCGCACTGTTTAGCTTTTCCAATCAAAAGTATCACCACAGCAAAGTTTTTATGTCCATCTATTCCGTCTCGTTGATAGGTGACGCAGTATTTGACCGCAGAGTTTTATTCCTTAAACTACAGTCTTCGCCAGCGGCTGGATATCTTGGAGGTAAAAATAACAGCTTCTCTACTTTTAATAATGGCCGTGTACCATCACTGATCTTTTGATCACTGTCACAAGTGCATTGTTGTTCTTACTCTTGTTCTGGTTTATTAGGTCCTCGCTCTGGCTGCTCAGGAACTCTCCAAACCAATCACTGAAAAAAGACTTCCATCCATAGGCTCTGCTGCCATCGCTGATTTGACTCCATACCCTGGTGACAACCCTGTCCACTGGCGACAAGTAGTAGAGCAGCGGATTCAGAGCAAAACCAAACGCCTCAGCAAGGTACTTGGAGTAGACAGACATTGTCATCTGCCTTTTCAGTAACTGAGTGAAGTCTGACTCATGAGCTTTCCATTGATTCCTCATATTACTACAGGGGGCCACACAACCTCCTGCTAAGGCCACTCCTAACCGTTATGCACCTGTTGCTGGACACTTCTTTTTTCCTCTACTCAGGAATTATGACAAGTAAGTGTGTAAAGTATGGTCAACATTCATTGTTTTATGTTTTAGTGTTTTTTAAAATATAACATTATTTTCTGCCAGGCCTCAGGTGACCTTTGACCTGTTGGGCGGTGACCACCTGGTGCTGGGAAGGTTGATCCACACCTTGGGCCTCTTCATGCATCTGGCAGTCAATGCACCGGTAGTTTTAAACAACTAACAACTGTCAATGCTACAATGACATGATTAAAGTACATACAACTAGAGCTTGATATCTACATCTATATCTATGTACCTCGGCTGGATGAGTTTTAGTTGAGAAATTGTAGCTTTGAAGTGTTTTGTATAGTATGTTATTGGTTTTTATGATCAGTTTGTATCTGTGGCCTGTATTGAAAGAGTTTATTCTGAACCATCAGTTATGTGATTTTAAAACTCATTCTGTAGTTTTTATTATGTTCTGTGGCTTCATTTATACATTATAATATTACAATAATCCAACCAGGTATGTTTTCTTTTATTCAGGTAGCTGCGCAGATGGGTTGTGCTTTGCTTGACTTTGTGTGGGCAGTGCGTTACCATGCTGACCAGTAAGTATGTTTTTGTCACTGTGCACCAGTAACCATTAACAACACTGTAGCCTATTATTCCTAACACTAACTAGAAATGCACTTGAGATGCTGCACTCACATTATATTCAAGATGTGCCATGTTTTTAAAATGTTTAAGCGTCAAAGGTGTAAACTTTTAAGGTCAGGAAATTAATTGTATTGATCGACAAAACTATGAAATTAGCGTAACATACACACTCCACAATTTATAAAACAACTGCCCGCTACTGCACAGCATTGGTGTATCCAGGCCTTCAACATGAGGTAACTGTAACTGTGTGGTTGCGTCCCTTTTCTAGCATCAGGTTTTGTCACTTGACCACTCCAGAATCACCATTCACAGACCAAATATAACAGTTGAACTGACCATGCTGTTTTATTATCTTATTTCAGTCTAAGCTTTAACCTGAAATCTGTCTGTGTTGAAGGATGGTGAGACGAGGCGTCCTCTTCGCTGTCTGCTCTGTGTTTCTGAGCATGCCCAGTCAAAACCTGCTGTTGGATCTCAGCGATCAGCTGTTTGAGACCAGAACTTGGCTGGCAGGTAAAAATGTCTGGTGACAAAATGTGAAATCTTTTTTTTTTTTTTTATGGAACGTGGATATTTAATTTCAAACATTAGTGTTTAATTCAGAGTTAGGTTACATGTTACTAAAAATAGATAAACCCTAAAACGCATGGTCCCTATAAATGGACTTGCACCTGCATAATGACCTTCTGTCAGGATGTCCACTGAATTAGTCATATCCACACACAAAGGCACGCACACACACAGCTGGACTGAACATTTCTGGGAAAAAGATGAGGAACCAGGATGTCCTGTGCACAGAACGCCTGTGACGTGATTAGCTCATCATCAGCTGGATTTAGTTCCTTTTCAAACCCTCTGAGGATAAAAGTACTTTCACATTGCTGCAGGTAACATGTAGTATTGTTAACTGTACAAAGAAAATGCCAGAATTAGAGAGTTCCAGTTCTTGAGATGTAGACTTTTTTTGGTTCCCACTATTGATCCTTATTTCAGGGTTTTCTGCTGGGTCTAATATAATCTGAACTTTAGCCTTTAAAGGTTTAAAAAATCTAAAATATTCCCTTTTATCAGTCAGGATTGACATGGGTCTTAAATTTCTCTCATTATGGCCCTAAAAATTCTTACATTTAATAGTTGCTTCTTGAAAATGAAAAACCCTGTTATCTATGTTGTTTGTATTGACAGACGTGGCTGAAGGAGATCCTGACGCAGACTGCCGCAGTCTGGCTATACAGAGTCTGGTGCTGCTGGATAAAAGCCTGAAGAAACAACTTCAAGATCCACAAGCGATAACTCTGGAATCATGATCACAGCATCAGATATGAACAATAAAATGACTCTGTGATGTGGGGGTGGACTGTACCTTCCCTCTATGCCTCTGCCGTGCTAAGATTGCTCAGGCTGTGAAGTTAGGACTCCATGCTCCGCCTCTTCTTCAATTCTCCCCGGAGAAGCTTGTCCTTTCGTTGGAGCTCCTCCACATGAACTCTCTCTCCATTTGTCAGGTGGTTCAGCTGCTACTTGAGAGCTGCATTTTCATTTTGGAGTGACTTCCTGCTCACATTGGCTCTTGGAGACGGCTCCTGGTGCAAACTAACCTTGGCATCAGTGCTCTTTAGAGCTTGTTCCCTGTTTTGTGAGCTGGGCCAGTCTGTTTATATATGCATAAGTGAGACTGCACCTTTTCGTTGTCTCCTTTTGCAGAAGCTTGATATTCTTGTAATGTGTGTGCCAACAATTGTTTGAAAGTGGAAGTTAAAAAAACAGCACTATGAGAAAATATTTACATTATATTTTGATTTAATAAATTCAAGAATAGAAATACACAAGATCTTTTTTATTGGTTACAAGAAGTGAACATATTTTCTTTTCTTATTATTGGTCATAGTATTTTAATCATGGGTTTGTTGTACAGTAAGTTTGGATAGTATGTATAATGCACATGAACTATCTTGTGATATAAGTATAATAATAAATAACAGATTAAAATGAGCTTATACAGTGAACTCTGGCTCATTTTCTTTATTTTGTCTGGTCATTAATGAGCCCTGTCCCAATTGAATAAATATTCATGATGAAAAACAAATGAGATGAAAGCAACATATGGAGTCATTCCATTTTCGTGGATGTAAAATATCTCAATCCAGCTTTGATCAGCCATAGAAACTCTACACATATGTCCAAATGTATTGAAGGTGAGTAATGTGAAAGATTTTACACTGTCTTGAAACATTTTTATTTTTATCTTAACTACAGATACTTGTCACATTAGAGCATTTCTAATGTGATGTCTAATTTCTAATAAGAGGACATTTTACTTTGATGGGGCCAGATAACCCTTCATTCTGTTGCTACCTAAAAAGCTTTTGTCAGAAATCATATTCCTGAATATACTTTAGGTGTCAGGCTATTGTGTTCCTTTATATCTATTATTATTATTATTACTTCTATTATGAATACTTTAATATTTAATTAATACTTAATACATTATTATTTATGAACATCTGTATTTTAACTATTTGTTTTCTGTTGTGCAGCACCTTGTACTTTGTGTTCAGAAGTGCCCTGTGAATTATTATTCTTATTATTCTTGTTATTATGATTCTTATCATTATAATAAACTCTACTGTCCTGTTGCTGCTGTGACAAAGTGATTTCCCTGTTTGTGGGACAACAAAGGGATTCTGATTCTGATTCTGATTCTTATTATTACCTTCGTTCACAACTCGGGTTGTGTTCGTTCTTTTCCGTGACTCCTCCCCCTCTCCAGCCTTCAGAGGTTGTCAGGGGCAACTGGCAGGGACGCTCCTCGGCGGCTCCACAGAAACTGAAGTTACTGTCGATGTTTGAAGACGTGTCCAGCTCAGGGGCCTGAGGCGACGTGAAACTGAGGAGAAGCGACAGAGACGTGAGTCTTCGGACCGTTTCGTACGACACTTCACCTCATTCTGCGGCTGCGGGAGCTAGTAATGGATGCTAACTTTGGCTAGCTTATGCTGCTTAGCTAACGCTAGCAGCTAAAGCTAACCATGTGTCTTATAATGACAATCGTATCGTTTCAGATGCTTGTCATTGTGGTGAATGCACAGCTCCGCTACTGTCGTTCGCGTGTAGATGTTCCCATAAAGTAAACTAACGTCAGCCACGTCTGTGACCGTTACATACAGTGACATGATGGACTGTGATCCCTGAGTTTACCTGTTGGTGATTACCTTGCTGTTAGAGCACTGGTGAGCCAGGCTCTAGTCTGATTAAATAGCTGCTACATGGTCATGAACCAGAAATCAAACACTGTCCTGATTGATAACTATGTGTCACTTGGGAGGTTGGATCCAGCTGATATCTCCTTATTCCTTTTTCTTCTTCAGAGAGGAGCTCTGGGGACATGGCGGTGTATTTTGATCACCGTATCGAGGCCCCTGAAAGCAGCGCGGTGCCCTCTCATTTGACCTGGCACTCCGCTCTTCCTGTACTAGCTGTGGCCTCAAGCAGCCCCACCAATGAGGGCAATGTAGACCTCTATCTGCAGCAGGTATTACACTGGGTGTTGACCAAGAGAGAGGACACATGTTGTATTGACTGTGCGGTAATATTGTCACTTGAGTCTGTATTTGAGAAGATTCTCAATCATCCAGGTCATGGTATCTTCAGGGGTTGTGCATGTCGTCATAGGCAACTGGACCTACTTGTGTTTGTTGAGGACGTTTTCACGTCTCATCCAAGAGGCTTCTTCAGTTCTCTCCTCAGACAGTTCAATACCCATCCACACCCCAACTCATGTGACCCAAAGTAACCCTTACCCCACAGGTACCGACAGCCTAAACGTGGGTACAGATCCACAGAGGTTAAATAAGACCTCGTTCAGACCTTAATTAATATCCACTCTGATGTGACCTGATCACAGGAGGACAGCCCTAAGTACAGTCTGAACGTACCCAAATGCACCTCAATGAGGTCCTGAGGCCCGATCACTCAGGCCACATTCAGAGGGGGTCTGGGACGCGTGTGGTCACGTTCTTTTCACTGTGGGAAAGCAAATGCCTACTTAACCACATTTGAGGGAACGACTACTCACCTGATGTCCTGCTACAGTTTACTATAATTTTGTGCTTCTCAGTGCCCAGAGCCTCTTGGATGAGAGGTGAAGAAGAATCACAAACAAGTCCAGTTGCCTATTTTCATTTGTACTAACCCTCACCCTACTTAAAGTCACCGCTGTCAATGTGCAGGGAGAGTATGTGGAGAGCTGCCATGTAGGACGTGCGCACCAGCCCAGAGTGCTGCGCTGGCATCCCACAAAACCAGTGTTGGCACTAGGATGGGAGAATGGAGAGGTAATGCTGCTGACACACCCATCTGGAGATCAGACCGTCCTTCCCAACACACACACAGCCAGCATCACACTGCTGGAGTGGAGCAGCTCTGGCAGCCGCTTGGTAACAGGGGATCAGGTGAGTGTGTTGACTGTATAAACAAACACTGTGGAACATTTATCTATGTCATAACTTAATACTGATAGATTTTTAGCATGTGGATATGATGGTGGGTCGAATTAATACACACGATTATCATTGTGGCACAAGCCTTACCAGGGTAATCGAGGAATGAATTCGATTAATTGTTCACTGTGTATGCACATGCTGGTAATGCATGAATATAGTGTAATTATTCATTGCCAGACTGGAGGTCTCGCAGTATGGAAGGTCGATGCCAGAGGGAGACTTCAAGGAAACCATCTAGTAAAGCATGAATACAACAAACCTTTAACTTGCTGCATCTTCAAACCTGCTGCACCTGGGGAGTAAGTAATTAAGTCAGTGTTCTTTTTAAGTTCTTATTAGTAAACCTATGTCGAAAGCATTGTGATAACATTGCGCTGCTGATGGTAGGACCTAATTCTTGTTACAGTGATGTGGCAATGCTAGCACGAGCATCAGTGAGTGGAGATGAGAGTGCTCTGGATATGTTCAGCTGGAAGGGAGCGCCTCTCAAGATGGGTCCGCAGGAGGGACTTGCGTTCTACGTCGCCACTGCAGATGGTAAGTGTTTGTCTTATTTGTTTGGGTTTTACCTGTATTTTAAGAAGAATTCAGATACATGTGAAAGGTCACTGTTCCCTTGTCTATAGGTAAAGTTCACAGTGTGGATGAACGCTGTAAGACAAACACACTGCTCAGTGTGGAGGGTGCAATCAAGAAACTGTTCTACCTCATCAAGAGAGAGGCCCTCGCTGTGATCACAGAGACCCTGATGCTCTCACAATACACTCTGGGACCTGAGGGAGGAGCCCAGGAATACATGAAGGTATGCCAAGACTATCGAGGGTGTCATTTCTTTTGGTTATTTAAAGTTTTTTTTTTTTTTACTTGTTATTATATAGCACTATTGAGAGGGGATATATACTGGAAAAACTAGAATCTGGAAATACGAAGGATTTGAACCTTGGGGTCTAATAAATCCCCTCTAGATGTAATTCCTACTGTTGATTGTACAGAAAGATTCAATATTAATGTAATGTTGAATTTTTTCTACATATTAATATTGTATGTTCCTATACACAATTAATTTTAGTTTCTTTTTTTCTCATGACAGGTGAAGTTGAGCAGCAAGACTGGTCAGAATGTCGACATTGTCTGGACAGAAAACAGCCTCCTCATCACAGTGTCGGGGGAACATGTCATCAGGTCAGCATACACACACTGTTTTTACACACATACTCACTCATTCATAACTTAAATAACTTTTCTGCCACTTTGTTTTCGTAGGCTCTGGGACCTGGAGCGAGATGACAACTATGTTTTGTCACTGGACGAATCTCTGGGGTTTGAGAGAGGAGAGATGATCAACTGTGTTTCATACTGTGCAGCAAAAGGTAAATGTGAAGTATTTCTCTTATGGAGTAAAATGCTTATTCCTCACCTGTGGATCTGTTCATTTCCAGTTTTACTCCCACATTCTCAAATATTTAGTAGACTAAATACACATACCCTTTTCACCCTTCAAAAGGCCTCATTGCTTTTATGTAACATTGTATGTAACTCCACAGAAATCCTGGCAGGTGGCACTAGCCATGGACGCATAGCAATTTGGAGGATGGTGGCACAGCCAGGCAGTAGCAAAGGTGACACCAGTGGCCAGTGGAAGCTACAGACACCCACTGAAATAGGGGGAAATGTCACTCAAATACAGGTACTGTATACTGGACCAGCATTTAAACACCTCCACTCATCAGACTCACATATCATGAGAGCATCTGTATATAATTCTGTTCACTCATTTCAGTGGGGCTCCAGCCTGAATCTACTGGCTGCCAACAACTCAAACACGGTGCTCATCCTCTGCGAGCATGTGATGTCAGCCCACTTCGGCCAGCAGGTGGCAGCAGTGCAACTTACCCCAACCCAACTCAGCATCACTCAGTTCAACACAGGAGCGCAGCTTGCTCTGCAGTCTGACACACACATCAAAGGAGTGTGTGTGACGAAGGTGATCATGGAGGGGACAATGTAGATTTGCTCATGAAAATGAATAAGATTCAACCGAATCCTCATTTTAGCTGCATATGTGTTACACCAACAGGAGTCAGTGACTGTCTGGAACGGAAAGCAAGTTACTGGGTATGAGCTTTCCGGGACAGTTCTACGCAGTACAGGTACAACACTGACCAAAAACACACACTGCAAACCATCCTTTCAGAAACTGTCCTTTACCTCACCCCTTTTTTGTCTTCTCATTCTTTTCCTTCCCCTTTCTCTTCTTTTTCCACCTCTCCTCCTCATGTTCCAGGAGAGTTTCCTTGTGATTCCCATGTAGTAGCTGTACATGGCGAGAACCTGTACACCGTGGAACCGAACAGGGTACAGATCCGCACTCCACAGGTCTGTATGTCCAACATGGAATTTGGCACACAACTTTAAGTATGCATGTTGAAAAGGCCTCTCTAACTATCAATATCTATCCTCCAAATTAGAATTGATCATAAAAGAATATAAATATAAATGCAAGTCATGTATTTGGCTCCCCTCTTTTCTTCAGGGCACTGTGAAGCAACTGTTGACCTTCTCCAAGGCAGAGGGCAACCCTGTGCTGCTCAGTGTGTGCCAGTCTTACCTGGTTGTTGGCACAGACACGGCACACATCAGAGTCTTTGACCTCTCCAGAAGGTATGACGATAATGTCAGTTTATTTACAATTCATCATTGCAAAGTACTGTGTTGTCCATCAATGCCAGTGTCAGTGTATGTTTTTTGTAGAGATGCCAAAGCTCACTGCAGTGCTAAGAACCTGGCTGACCAGATTGCCAGTTTAGGAGCCCTGAGGTCAGTCAAGTGTAATGCCAATGGCAGCCAAGTCAGCATCCTCATCTCTCAGGTATGAGAGTCACACTCTTAGTCTCTAAATGTGGATTTTTTTTGTCAAGTATAATATGAATATGATCGTCACTCTTCCCTCTCAGGTTAACGGGCGACCTGATCACAAAGTGTACTTTTACGATGTTGAAATGGACACTGTGACACACTTTGACTTCTTCGTTGGCAGACCTACCAGTGGTATCTCACAGTGTGAAGACAGTGAAAGGTAACTGAAGCTGCTTTAGTCTTGTGTTATTGTTGGGATTTGTCCTCTTCCCATGTAGAGTTTTCTCCACTGGTGCACTGTCTGTGTTCTCAGGCAGCAGTTTCAGGGGACGGAGCTCAGCGGTCGATGCCCTGTATCTCACTTCTGGGATGAGAGTGAACCTCGTCTTTTTGTTTGTGAGACGGTGCCGATCAGCTCAGAGTCATCATCAACTAGTTCCGTTGATATGGTAAAGACCTCTGTTTAGCACTGAGATCATCCTCTTCAGCTCTGTGAGCAAAACATGGTGCTTAAACTGCTGTTAGCTGTGACTTCTCCTGGGACTCACTCATGCTACTATACAACCCTTTTGAGGAAAACTGAGAACCAGGAGGAATATGTATTGCTTCTTCATTCAGTTATCTTATACAAGCAGTCAGAATGTAAATGCTTATCTAATACCAGTGCGTTGTCTTCCTTCCATTCAGGCCGACGTGTCAGTGGTGACCCTCTTCTGTACACAGGAACACGGGTTACTCCTACAGGACTGCTACCCCAAACCTGCAGGCCTGCAGGCTCTTCTCGCTCTGGATGTGCCCTACTATTATTTCAGCTGCAAGGTGAGCATGGAGAACTCTTGGGTGGGGTTTCTTACACAGCAGGTGGGGGTTCTTTCTAGAACATTGTAGATAAGCATTTTATTTTAGATCTTGATTTGTCTTTCATTGGTTTGCCCTCTTAACTGTTCTTATGTAAAACTCTGTGTGTTTGGTCTAACACACCCCAGCTTTTATTTTGGAGGGCTGGTGTCTTTCTACCAGAAGTAAGTATCTGTCCCCTACAGTCCGATCAGAAAGCTTGAATATTCTTGACTCCCAACTTCCAGCAACTGTGATCGTGTTTGCCTTGTGGCTGAACAGAAGCATGAAAAATCTGGCTCCTCAAAACCAGCAGCACAAGAGCCTCCCTGAAATATTTAGAGCTCACTAATCTTTGTCCACTTCCTAAAGCCTGTCTTGATGAATAGATGATGTTGAGTTGATGTTTGTTTGGCTCTGTGTCCCACCTATTCCCCCAGTGTTTTCTCACAAGATATGTTTTACTGTTGTGATCCCTCTTCACAACAGCTTCATTTATCACTGGCTTTGAATCACATTATGTCCAATATTGACGTCATTATGCTCTATTCCTCCACAGCCTGGTGAGAGGGATCCAGGGTTAACAGAGGTTTCAGCCACAACATCAGCACCACCAAATCAGACCCAGCCATTGAAAGGGGCGCCAGTCCAGTTCCCCAATATGGTGTCTAGGCGAGCTCTCAGGGAATTTGTGGGTTTGGAGACCTGTGAGAAGGCCACCCGTGATGCCATGCTCAACTTCAGCTTCTACCTGACTATTGGCGACATGGACGAAGCCTTCAAAGCAATCAAGCTCATCAAGAGGTAGGGCAAAATGTGTATGTTAACTCAGTGTGGATCTGCAAATAGAGAGGACATAGAGGATGGCCTACACACAGTGGGCCCACCCTCCGATTTGATCCACGTCATCACATTCCTCAACAGGCCCCACAGGGGTTTTAGTTCAGCATTGGTACTAGATCCTTGATACATCACAGAATGCTCTTCAATTAAGAATTAGGCATTGTTGCCGCTCCACCTACTATTTTATTCAGCACCTTTGACTGCTGTGTTTAGACCACCCCTGTAGTTCTGTATGTTTTTCTATGAAACATTTTCTTGAAGTCTTGAGAGGTGATCATGGGACTTGTTTTAACTACCATGCTTTATTTGTTAATATGTGTAGGTCCAAACTCACCAGTTTGCTTCCAGGTCTATTATAGCATGATACAATCATTTATTAAGCTCCACCTAAGTCAGACTTAGATTTGTTTATGTAGGTACATGGAATAGATTCTATACACAGGACGTGATTAAGGACTTTTTCTGTGTCTGTGCTTAAGGAAGGAACTCTTCACTGTGTATATATGTGGCTGTTTCTGTTAGTGTGCGGGTGTGTGCTGAGGGGATGTACTTTTCTAAACACACTGACTCACACATACGAAGTCCTTCTGCCAATTTGGTCCAAAAGGAGTGCCCTCTATTCTTGCGAATATTGAATCAGGTCACTGAAAGGATGTACGTGTCCGTTCCTGTGTGTGTGTGACAAACGTACAGCATATGAGATTTAATCAAAGGTGTGATAACATCTTTAGAAGTGATTCAGAACACTCTGAATTATGCTGCTGTGTTTCTTGTGCATGTACAAACATTACGCATTTGGGAAAACAGCATCCACCACTGACCGGATAGTCCTAAGAGTTTAATAGGCGTGATGACAGCTTTACTAAGTTCCTCCTTGTTGGCTATTTTTACTGCCGCTACATTTAAGAAAAAAAGGATCAGTATTGTTTTTGATTCTCGTATATCTCCACCCACAGGAATATGCATTTCCTGCAGCGGTAACCTGTATCTGCTGGTACTTTATGGTGCAGATTTTTGAATTAAAAAAAAGTTCCCATCCCTAAGTCAGAAAGTAGCTGGTGATCAAGGAGTCATGAACATTTATTACTTATCTATTGCATGTATTTAAGATGATTTGGGAGACAATGCACCCATTTCTCCCATGCACCTTAAAGGTTCAGTTCACCCAAATTGCAGGGGTGTAGGTAGAGTTCTTCACAGGTCAAACCTTGTGCCCGAAACCGAAATGAAACCTTGGATTGGCGGAAAACCTTAACAAGAGGCTTGAGACACTGATTTCTGAAACCATGAAAGTTTCACTTCGCTTATCAAAAGCAGATATAAGTGTGAAAGTGCCTTTGCCTCCGAGAGTCAGATACAGGTCGGAATGTCTTTATTCAGACCAGACCGCGCTGCTTCCTCTCATTCATGTTGTCCTTGACTTTAGGTGACACGATTATCTGCCCCTATGAATACAAGCCCTCTCTGTCTTTTTTGCATTTGGTAGTTGAAAGCAAAACTCTCCCCTTTTCATCAGGAACAAAAAAAACAGAGGAAATGTTCGGGGTGAAGCAGAGATTGATGTATGATGTAGTCATCATATTTGGCTGTGGCTCATGTTCCCTCATGCTCTCAGTTGAAGCCATTTGTCATGGGAAAGTATGTTATTCACTTCATGGAGCTGTTACAGTTCTTCTCCATTGTGTCATTCTTCGAAGAAACTAGGACCATCATTGATACCAACATCATCAAAATGGAGCTAATTATATGTATCTATACAGAAAGTATAGTGGTAGTGTCATCTTTAAACCAGCATGTTTGGGTCAGTTTATATATCGATGGAAGTAGAGTTTTTTCTTGGCTCATCTTTCTACCAAGTTTTTGGGAGATCAGTTCAGTAGTTTTTGCATCGTCCTGCTGACAAACAAACAAAGCAAAACAAAAAATAAACGAATGGGTGAAAGAATAAATCCAACTGGACTCACATCACATCCAATCGTGAAGGTTAAGCATAGAGGTTCATTGGGAAATACGGTATTTGAAAATTGTATTCATGAGGATCCGTATTGTCATCATCATTTTCAGCTGTAGTGTTTGACACCAAAACAGTAACAGCAACAATCACTCCGTTTGAATATTTACCAATAAATTTATTGAATTTATATGATATATTATTATTTTAATGTGCCTTTATGTTTGGTAACGAGGAAGACCCACAGACAGGCTGGAGTTCTTTGCAGAAGTATGATATGTTTACAATAATATCAGTACTAATAATAGCACGATTCTTTACACAACTATATCATATTAATTTAAGTATACAGTATGTACCACAAGCGAGCAGTGTCATATGTAAAGCATCATGAATAATTAACGCAAGACTTGAAATGTGTTTCAAAATGCAGTACATTGCCAAAACATCTGTCATCCGTCAGTTTAACAAATCCTGCTTCTAAATCAATTCACATACATTAAGTAGCAATTATGTTTTTATTTTTTTGCCCAATCAAAAGGTTTGCTGAGCTTGACTCTTCTGCTTTTATTTTGTTTGTTTACCTACTTACTTGCAACATCTATTATTAACATCAATATGTATTAAAACTATAAGAACCTTTAAAAGGATAATAACAAATATGAGGTATTCTGGTATTTTCAACATCTTTCATAATATCCAATTTATAATTATGTAGGAGGCCATTTAAGAAGTGCACATATAACAATATAGGTCAAGTTCCAGCTTGATCTTTTCACAAGAAGGATGCTTCATAAGACAGTGCCAGTCCAAATTGAATGTTTAACTACCAGTTAGTTCACCCAAGCATGAATAAACAAAACATCAGTATTCGACTACGTTGGGAAGTTTAGAGATGCTTTATACATTCATTTTCAATCTTCAATCTGTGGCTTTTTTGCAGCAAAATAAGAAGCAAAAATAATCCTGGTGTCTTTGTTTATGGTGGGAAGAGTTGTCAAATGTAGTTTTACAATTGCAGGTACGTGTGAGTCCACAGGAACGTGAAAGGCACCAGTTGAAGTTAAACACTAATAGTTGAGTTCAGTCCATTACTCCTTCTTGTCTTGGCTTGTGAGCTCACGTAGCTCAACAAGGCGACTCCACGTAGTCATTGTCTAAACGTGGATGGAAAGGTGACGCCAGTGAGCGACTGATGATTATAACTCGAGGTGCGAGGCAGTCATCACGGCGGTGTAAAATGTTCCAGATAAGCATGGCCGCAGCCATCGTGGCCAGCAGGCAAGCGGCTATGTCCAAGTAGCAGGAGTAGGACAAGTGGGTGTAGGGTCCGATCCTGTAGAAGGTCACAAGTCCAATCACAAGCACAAAACCTGCACAGAAGCACAGAGAGACAAGGCCTCAGTCAGTGAAAATGAACTGCCATTCTCAGTTAACAACTCATTGTAAAGAGACAAATGAACATTTAAGATTTCAAACTTTTCTGTTTGCTCTGCTGTGTATGTAGCGTCATGGTTCACAGTTTGACAAGTAGATACTGTAGTGTCGAATTTCAGTTACTTGGAGCTAACAAGAGGATGCTGGTGCTGCTTGTGGAAGAAATCATAGCAAGTTATGATTTCTATACTTTCTATACTTTTGAATTGATCAACAAGGCAACACAGAGCTCACATGAAGTGAGTCCAGGGAATGTCCTTTGCTCTTGATGCTGAAACAAAAGTCTTGACCCATGATAGAACTTTGCACGAAATGATATTATCAGCATCCTAAAATGCTGATGACATGGGTCAATGTACTGAATCAGATATGCTCAAACTGATACTAAATTTCCATTACTAGAACATTTTTAGTCCTATTTGTTTTTGTGTGTGTCTGTGAAAGGCTCATTCTAAATATCATATTGATTGGGCTCATTATGTATAACATGCTAACATTTTTTAATTAGCTCTTTGTTAATTAACACAAAGAGGGTGTCTTTATTTTTGCCAAACAAATTAAAACTTTGACTTGATGGTTTTAACTTGACAAAAGGCAACATCAATGTAATTCATCCTGAGGGTGACAAAAATACCAAATCATCATGACAGTCCATAGCAGTTATTAATACATTGAGACATTTCAGTCGAAACAAAAAACTGTAAGCCTCATTATGGTGGAAAATTAAAATTCATTCATTTGTTTAAACCAAACTGCTGGGAAAGCAAAAAAATATAATCTAACAGAACCTGAAGTGGCTTTTTGAATTTTCATGCTCACATTTAGATCTCGATCCATGTGTGTCGCAGTTCGGCAGGAGCGCTGTCAGGGGTCTTTGAATTTGAAAATCTGTTTCCTCTTAGGGAGAACTTCTAAGATGCATAAAAATAAATACAAATATCAGTGCATGAATATACGCCCGGAAGAGCCTTTGAAAACTCCTGATTTCTTTGATTCACAGTAGTTTAACTCACGCGATGAGGAGCTGTTTGCTTGCCAAGTTAAAAACAAGGCAACGCTTGCAGGTCATTCTTTCCTCAGGTTATTAGAGGTGTGGATGAAAGTCCACATAGATCTATACCATTCAAGTATCCCTCAGTGCTCACCATATTCAAGTGTATTCTGGAGCCATTCAAGAGTTCAACAGTACATGTCTGAAATCTTGCCTAATCCAAAGTGGCATAAATAAAGAGACCAAAAATAATCACTGGAAATAGGGATGTTGGTGTTTTAGGATATGAATCAGTCTGTTTCCTGAAGCAGTCAGTGGCACCAAGAGGTGGGGGTGGCATAGGGGCCGGTCGGTCTACCTCTACTCTAAGATGGCCATTATTGTTTAAAGTGAGGATGTGAACAATTCTATCTGTGTATCATTGCGTGTCTACCGACATGTTTACGTGTAAGAATGCAACTGTTTGCTTGCTCTGTTCATGTTTAACCTGTCTGGCTCCTTATCCAAGAAAATGAATAATCTCCTGTTCAGGTTCCAACCAGGGTGGACTGTGTGAACCTCTTTTCTGGCACGGACTTATCT